CGGGAAAGAGCGGGTATAAGAATAATAAAAGCATGTTCATTACTGAGAACAATACACAGACGCATGAGGGGATACTTTATGTTAGATTTATTTCTGATTGAATAGTCCTTAGTTCAACCTCCATAAACAGAGTAACAGAAAAGGAGACACAAAAACAAACCAGGTAAAGATAATAGCACACAATCTCATTATTTGGGAGTTTTTGGGGACTGTGCTTTATTTCACAATGTCTAGCTTGTATACTTGTTCCATGCTACATTGAACTAACTTACCAAAAACCTAAAACCAAAATGTTTTTCCAGGACTCAAATTGCGATCGACTATGTGGGTTATTAGCTCTAGCCTAAGGCAGAACCCACTTGTGAACGTATGTGTATGGCAAAGTAGGTGAGGTGCTTTACAAGAGAAGGCACAAGTCTAATGGAATTTTATGTAGTGTAGCTACCACACTGCACACTGGACTTCCCGGAGTGGGGTTAGTGTCACTAACAGAGGACAGAGCTGCTAGAGCAGCAGTAACAACAGCTACCATCTGAGAACTCAAGACGTGACAGGCACGCATACATACTTTACATAATTGCATTTAATGATTTAAATCCTCATAACCCTAGACGCAGGTACCATTTTTTAAAAAGTTTATTTCTTCGAGGAGAGAGAGAAGGGGAGAGGAGAGAGAGAATCTCCAAGAGGGTCCTGATGCCATGAAGCACTCCCAGCCTAGCCAGCCCCAGATCATGGGCTGATGCATGTCCTGCATACTCAGGGAGGTCTCCAGATAGGAACCCAACCTCTCCATGTGGGTTAATCTCTTGAGAGTTGTTTTTTTTTTTTTCCTTTACAGTGCATGTGCTCGCCAGAGAAAAAGACAGGAAGCAAGAAATCATCCCCCAGGTAGGATGACCATTCTCCTCTCAGGATTTTGGGCACGAACACACATGCACCTGGCCTGAGTTTGAAATCACGGGCTCCAGGACTCGAATTGCAGTTGACTATGTGCGTGTCCAGCGATATAACCATTGCACCATCTACTGGTCCCAGGGCATAAAAACTTTTAAATAACTTATCAAAGGCCAGATAGCTAGCTAGTGGTAGAACCAGGATCCCAAACCAGGCAGTCAGCCTGCAGAATCATTACTTGCAGTGAACAAGCTACTCCACTGTACAGGGCTTATCATGGGAGTTAGATGAGAGGAGATGATGTCTGCTGCCGGACACAGTATGTGCTCAACAAAGATTAGTTAGTGTCAAAATAGGCTGAACGTTAAAAAAAAAAAAGTATTATTTTGCTACTATATGAGCAATCTTCAAATATGTTCCTAAACGCATACTAAAATTTGTGCCTAGATTTCAAATTTCTTTGCACTAAAATAAAACCTGTACTTTAGGGGACTAGCAGATGGCATAATGATTAAGTTGCTGGACTCCTATGTAGTTGATGGTGGTTCGAGTCCCAGACCTGGTGGCTTAAAACTCATGCCAGGAGCATGTGTGTGCATGCCCAAAATCCCAAGAAGAGAATGGAGAAGAGATTGCAGTGTGGCCATTCCACCTCCCTGGGGGGGGAGGGGGGGGATTTATCGCTTTCTATCTCTCTGTCTCTGTCTCAGTGAGCACACACGCCCTATAGCAAAAATTTCTCAAAACAAACAAAAACCACCCCTGTACTTTAAATTCCATTTCCATAAACTGTTTGAGATGTTCTTATATTTGGTAATAAAACATACCTATGGAGACCAGCAGATGGTGCAATGGTTACATCCCTAGACTCCTACGTAGCTGATCGTGGTTCAAGTCCTGGATCCGGCAACTTGAAACTCACACTGGGCACATATGCATACGTGCCCAAGATCTTGAGAGGAGAATGGAGAAGAAGGGATTGCAGCATGGCCATCCCCCCTGGGGTATGACTTCTTGCTTTCTATCTTTCTCTTTGGTGAGCACATGTGCCCTGTAGCAAAAATCTCTCAAAATTTTTTATTTTAAGAAATAACTTCTAATGCTTGAAGGAAATCTCATATGTGGAGCAAACTCAATAAATGTTTACTGATAGAGAGAGGTCAGCTTTTTCATCTGAATTACTATTGGTTTATGATTTTAAATGTCTAAGTAAAAAAAGGTACATTCTATAGTTTTATAAATCTTCATATCCAAAAAAAAAGGGGGGTCTCTGATACATATTTCCTGTGGGTCCAGCAGGAGAGAATACTTGACTAATATCCTAACTTATTTCGTCTCCTTATGATATTTTCAGAATAAATTCTCACTTCTGTTAGGGGTTTAATGATGCTTCATTAATTCAGTAAAAAAGGAAAATGTGACTCGCAAAAGTTACTTGGTGATAAAAGATCTACTTAGTTATAAGAAGTTACTTTATATATGTGATAAAGTATGTGTTGTACATAGAGCAAAAATCTCTTAGTAAAATTTTTAAATAACTTTCTTCCACTAAGAATAACCAGTATTATATGTATATTACATGTATATATATGCACATATGCATTTCAAATGTATATACATATAATAGCATATGTATATAACCAGGTATATTTATTTAGCCCCATGTGTAACTCAACAAATTGAAAAAGATGTCATATGAAATCCTGAGGACAATTTTTTTTGGGGGGGAAAAGTATTTGCTATAGGGCATGTGCACTCATTGGAGAGACAGAGAGACAGAAAGTGAGAAATCACACACCCTCCTGGGGGATGGCCATGCTGCAATCCCTTTTCCTTTATTCTCCTCTGGTGATTTTGGTCACACAAGTACATGTGCCTGGTGTGAGTTTCAAGCTGCCAGGTCAGGGACTTGAACTGCAATCTACTACATGGGAGTCCAGTGACATAACCATTACACCATCTGCAGGTCCCAGAGGACAATGTTTTTAAGTTATAACTACTCTAAACGGAAATTAGTGATCATATATACAAATACCCCATCATATTTGGATATAAAGTTTTAAATGTAAGCAATTACATGGCTATTTAACTTAGATATTAAATATATAAATAATCCAAATATTAGTTTGAGTAAAGTACTGATTTTCATTTTACTGCTTGATTGTTACATCGTCTGGATATACCATCTATACCAAATGGTAGCATAATGATTCCAATTAGTCAGTCTTTTACTATACACTTGCAAGATCGCACATGAAATACTACTTTGACAGATTTTCTATCTTCTCAAATGTGGGACTGGTGTACAGCTGGGATTTACTTGTGGCTATACTTGCTGGGCAAATTTATATATATATATATGCGTATGTGTGTATAGATATATACACATATATGTATATATACACACACACACATATATATATATACATATACATATATATATACACACATATATGTATATATTTCTATAGAAATGGTCCCCAAGTTATGATGGTTGGACTCTGACTTTACAATGGTGCAAAAGCAATACACATTCAGTAGAAACCCTATCTGTAACACATATACATCCACTCTGTTTCTCACTTTCAGTACAGTAGTCAATTAATTACAAGAGAAAAGCAATGTTTTATTATAAAACAGGCTTTGTGTTAGATAACTTTGCTCGGTTGTAGGTCCATATAAGTGTTCTGAGCCCATTTAAGGTAGACTAGGTTGTTATGTTTGAGGTTGAATGTATTAAATGCACTTTTAAAATATTTTCAACTCATGATGGGTTTATTAGGATGCAGTCCCATTATAAGTTGAGGAACATCTGTATTTCTTTCTTTTTTTAAATGGTCAATGTAGTTACACCACTTGACTGACACAGACCTAATCAGATTATAACTGTAAACCACATCACATTACAACGGGGAAAAAATAAGGTATATTCTATGTAAAGGAAAATTAGTATTACTGAAAATGAAAAAAAAAAGTCACATGGAAATGAAACATATGAAAAAAATGTACTATTATGATGTAAGAGTTAGTCAGATTCGGACTTTTACTCACTGACCTAACTTGAGGCATTTGACATATTTTACTGAGATCTAATGATTACCTAGTATTACAGAACTGCCAAGCAATTAATATTTGCCTTGCATCTTATAAACTATAGGTGAGTTTATATAACCAAACTAATATACTGCTTGACAATCTGAATACGTTAATATGTTTTTAAAGCTTTGCTCATTATGTAAGAAAAATATGGTTTTATACGTTTACAATGCAGGGCCCGCAACAGCAGAGTGCTGGTAAATTAAACACACAGAAACAGTAAAAGATTTTATTTTATTATTATTTTTACTTTCATCCAAACACAACTTTTTTTAAAAAACATAAAAGCATGCACATTGATGGCATTCTTACAAAGAAAAAGTAAGTAATAATGAGGCTGTAAATGAGCAATGATAACAGTATAAACAGATGCTTACATGATATGTGAAAAGATTTACAGGTAGGCATAGGGTTCTTAATTTTAGAAAATAATTCAAGTCAAAATCAATACATGTTAAGGAAAAGCTTCTAATTTTTCAAACATTTTGAGACAATATTTTTCAACTATCCTGTTTTAGATCTTTTGTGAAATGAATATAAGTATAGTGCGAAGAAACATGACATTCAAGTGATCTTTTACGGGTCATTTTGCCTTGCTAAAATGAGTTATAATCCATGTAATTCTGATGGTGTTGCCTCTTACAATTCAAACTAAGAGCATATCCATATATTCACAGTAAGTTCCACAACTTACACTCATTTGGATCTAGTTAGAAATAAGCTCTAAATTTGGGACTGTTAAAAATGTCTAGTAGATGGTATTGATCTAAATTCACTTACAGGTAAGAGAAGATTGCAATTCAGTATAAGAACACATTTCCTAAATTTTACCTATGCCCCCCATCCATAATTAGGCCAACTGTATCCTGTAGGAGTGAGTGTACATGAATGTATGTATACAAATAGGAAGTGACAGATATAAGCTGTTTCACACCACACGACTCTTCAAAAGTGTGGCTTAAAATGGCATATTCTCCAGTTTTGGAGAATCAGTGTAACACAGACAAAATTTTCCTTTTTCATTTTGTTTATCATGATTCAATTGGTGTGTCTGATATGGGTCCTTGATATATTTTGCAACAAAAATCCATTAGTGGTAGGCAGAAATGTTCTTAAAAGGCAATCAAGTTTTTAAATTATAACATAAATACAGAACAAAACACACTTGAAAAAGGTCTTCTTCCATGGGATCTATTGTTTCACACAAAGACTGTGATTTGGTTCCTTGAACATAGGTCTTGTTCTGAAGTGATAAATATATTAACTGTGTAGCTCCATTAAAACTGATGGGATATAAACAAATTCACTTGGTCCTGATGAATGAAGTCTGTATTTCACTAGATTGAGGAAGGTGAATTTCTTGACACCAGAACTGCTTGATCCTGCAGAAGCCGGTGAATCAACTCACTCACAAGAATTGAGAGTTCAACCTTGAAACAGGACAACACTGGCTGGCTCTGCATTTCTTCACTGCAAGTCTACGTGTAGCCACCGAGCAGCACCAGTGATGGGAATCCAAAGGAAAACAACTAGAACAGTGGAAATCCACCATGATAACATAACAGTGATTTTTGCAGTAAATATTTTGCTAAGTTAAAGAAGAAATAGGCAAAAGGCACATGCTAGTAAATCTAGTTAGAATATTTGCGGGCTCCCATCACCTTGAATATCCATGGATATGACTCCAACAATGATTTCATACTGGTTACTTTTATATTAAAAAATTAAAAAAAAGAAAGTCCTAATATTTTCAAGCACTTATGGCACAGATGTTGGGAAGTACTAACAACATAGCTTGAATCTTCAAAAAGCTGGGCAATTTAAAGTTCTGCTACAATGAATAAGTCACAATTTAACTTAAACTTAATTCTCATATTTTATACATTATTATTTTGTGTAGGATACAGGGTGTGCAAATTAAGTGATTTCAATAAATATTAGAATGTTATTTTTGCAAATATAAAATAAAATCGCCTAATAATACAATATAATAAAAACATGTGCTAAACCGAGCTTTCTCCCCATAAGCATTTCTTGCCCTTTTCCTTGAATATATTGATATTTAAATACAATTTTCTTTCACTGACTAGGAGAAATTAAGCAAATACAATACATAGCTGCAAAATCCTACTTTCGTGGGAGAGTATGAAGCTATCAAAGTTGTAATAAATTGAAAATAACAAATATAGTGAAATATACTGCAAATTAATGTTAAAAAATACAGCCATCTGAATTACAAAACAGTAACAAATTATACAATCCTAATAATCTTCTGAAGTTGACATTAGTTCATGGGAAATGTAAAGAACAGCATGAACTCCATTTGCTTTTACCTTCTCAGTAGCTCCAGTTACTAAAGTTGTAAAACCATGCATGTTTGCCCAAGACCAACTGCATATCAGCTTTAGTCACAAATTCTATTTTATCCAATGTTCAATCAACAAGGCTTTATTAATACTTCTTATTAAATTCAGGAAACAGTTGATATAATATGCAGCCACTAATAACAGACACAGTAGCACATCCCACTGACTAGAAAATGCTCTCTGCTGTTTATGCTTTGATAGAAACCCACAGGCAGCCAAATAAGGTCCCATATAGCCACGTGCTCACATACAGTTTCCTTCCAGTCTTGGTCATAAGCATGGCAACAGTCAAACCACTTAAGATCAATACTGATGGTAAAGTCTTCTTAAGACTTAGTTTGGAATTAACACTTTCCCCAGGAAATTTATTTCTTCTTTCTGGATCTGGTGAATCATAAAATTCTATAAGCAACCTTTGGTCAGAATAAAAAGAAAAAAAATTAAGTTTTAATTTTGGTTCATTTCAATGAATATCTACTGGCTACCTATCTATTATGTACTGGGGAAATTATAGGTCCCTGGAATATGAGGATGAATAAAGAAACATTTAGACACTTGGTTTAACAGATGTTTCTAGACTTTTTTTCTTTAAGAGATTTTTGCTATAGGGCGCATGTGCTCACTGGAGAGACAGAGAGAAACAGAAAGACAGAAAGTGAGAAATCAGCCACCAGGGGGGATGGCCACATTGCAATCCCTTCTCCTCCATTCTCCTCTCAGGATCAAAGGCACGCACACAGACATGCCTGGCGTGAGTTTAAAGCTACCGGGTCCAGGACTCAAATCACGATCAAGTACGTCAGAGTCCAGTGACATAACCATTACGTCATTTGCCGGTCCCTGTTTCTAGATTTAAAATATCTTTAACATGATCTATTAGGATATATGAACTGTATCACAGTAAAATTATAAAACAAATGGTTTTAAGCCACTTGAGAAGGACATTTTTAAAATTTTAATCTATACAATTTTGTAGCAATCTGACTCACACATGGTACTAACCCATCTCAGCTTCTCTGCTTATATTCATAGTTCTTATTCTACTAGAAGTCAAAGAAAAGACCAGTCATTTTTATTGTATACAGAGAGTTCTCACAATGCCCTTATTTCCATGGAATGATAAAGGCAGTGAAAAAGGAAAACAGCAACACAGATTTTTCCATCTTATTTAAAACATAATTGTATGTGTCAGCCAGTAGTGTGGTGGTTAAGGTAGCTGTATCCCACATGGCTGACTGAGCAGACTAAGCCTTGGACCCAGCAGCTTGAGAAATGCACTGGGCATATATGTATGTATTCCAAATCCCGAAAAGAGGGAGTAATGGAGAAGGGACTGAAGTGTGACCATTCCCCCATGGAGGGTGCTGTCCCATATGCCCTCTCTTTCTCTGTATGTCTCTCTGGTAAGCGCATGCATCCTTTGACAAAAATTAATAATATAAACATACACACACATACACACACGCATACAAAATAACGTGAAAGCACGAAAAGGGAAAGTTCTTCCATTGCCTTATAAATAGCATTCCCTAGAGAAAACTATTTAGGCACTAGCTGGAACCCACATGGCCAACTGTGCGGTTCAAGTCCTGGGCATGTGTGCATGTGTGTCCAAAATCCCAAAAGGAGAAATGGAGAAGAAATTGTGGCATGGCCATCTCCTTGGGTGTGCTTTCTCACTTTCCCTCTCTGTCTCTCACGGGCAAGCACACATATTCTCTAGCAAAAAATCAAAGAGAAAGAGAACTTTTTACATGTCCACTTATCTAAATACGTATAAATACCTGTAACATGAGACAAATGGGATATTAAACATATTGCTCAGTCTTTTTTATGAGAACATATTTTCATGTCAATATGCATAGATTTTACTTGCAAAATTTCTTTCATAACGAAAGTGACTGGCTTAATAAATTACATCATCTACACCTGAAGAGTCAATGAAAGGTAAGAATTTACCATAATTTTTTTTTAAAGTTTTTGCTATAGGGCATGTGCACTTGTTGGAAAGAGAGAGCGAAAGAGTGAGTGAGTAAGAGAGAGAGAGAGAGAGATCACACACACCATCTCTGGGGGAATGGCCACGCAGCAATCCATTCTTCTCCATTTTCCTCTAGAGATTTTGGGCATGCACATATACATATCCTCAGTGTGATTTTCAAGTTGCCGGGCCCAGTACTTGAACTGTGCTGTAGGCCACCTGGGATCCAGCTACCTTAACCATCACACCACCAGCTAGCTCTAAAATTTCACTTCTAAACTCTTACACTTTTAATAATTTTCATTTGTTAAAATTAATCCAGAAGGGTAATTAGGAAACATTTACTATAATACAAGGAAAGGAAGAACAATGGTAGTCTCCTGAGAAGAAGCAATTAGGATAGTAAAAATAATTTGGTAAAATTTCTGAATGTAAATCTAATGTAAGTATTTTTAAAAAAGTCTTTAAGAAAACCCATACTTTTCAATGTGGTCTTAAATGATGCATCCTATAAAAAATAGATTTGTTTTTACAAAAATAGAATAAAAAGTATAATGTCAAAACATCTTGTGGGGCCAGCAGGTGGCATAGTGGCTGAGGCACTGGACTCTCACATGACTAACTGTGGTTTGAGTCCAGGACCTCATGGCTTGCTTTCTTGCTTTCTTGCCTCTCTCTCTCTTGTCTCTCTCTGGTGAGTCCATGTGCCCTATAGCAAATCGTAAAAAATAAAGATAACAACAAATAAAATTAAAAAGATAAAAACTTTGTAGATGACTCTCTACGGAGAAGAATATTAACATATTTAAGAATATGTATCTGAGAGGATGTAACTTTCACTGATAGCCAAGTAGACAGTAAATACATATCTTGAAGATTTCATCCAAGAAAAAACTCTGATGTAACAGAGTATTTTCGAAACAAATATTCTAAATATCTCACCTAACCTAAAACTCATCTTTTTTCTTCCTACAAAAAAATTCAAAACTGCTTTCTTGTATTAAGTCAAAGATACTAATATACTCTATTGATGTCACCTGCTGCTTTAAGCGCCTCTCTTTATCAAGTGGCATATCACATTCACTCATTTGACTTCTTAAAGTTATATCTCATATAAGAAATACCCAAATGCACCTGTAATTTACTTATGAGTAACAGTCGGCAAGGTTCTTCTACACCATTGTTTTCTCCAAAGTGATATTAGCATGGACAAACACAAAATCAATCCCAGAAACTGTTTAGGTCCCCAAATACTAACAACAGAAAAAGAAAAGAAAGAAGACATTCGTCATAAAAACGTCAGTTCCTTCCTCCTCTTGTTGAAAGAGGGAGATACATCAGCATCATGTCCATCTGCATGTCAGACACAGTCCTCTATTCTAAAAGACCTCGGTCTTCCATGCACAACTGACATGGCAGTTGGTCCCTACTTATAGCAACTTTATCTGACTTGGGAAGGCAGCTTTAAGGATCTTTCACTGGAAGGTCCTCTGTGCCTAGTTTTAATTTTAGTATCTCACCACGTAGTATTATCTTAAAAATACTGTAAATAAAAGGAGATAGGTCCATTGTAATGAGTTTTTTTATAGTAACTTGTAAAAGTAAAGTTTAAAATGTGAATAAACGTGGATATGGAGGAAGATTTGGTTTGAGTTTATAAAAAGCATTCTTGAGATTATACAACTATTTTAAATGGTTTCAAACGGTTTATGATAGTGCAATTTAGTTGGACTAAAGTTTCTGAAGTTCTGGAACTGTTACTCACTTATCCTTTATCTCAAAACGTTCATGAAGCCATCTTCTCATATATGCTTGTTCTTCTGGGACATCTTTTTTGTCTATACGATCAATATGAATATGAATTTTTGGACATTCTTTGCAGAGAAAGTCTACCAAAAAACAAAAACATTTCATTTGTTTATTATTGTAGGACTCATAGTAATATAAAATAACTTATAAAAATCAGGCAATAAGTCAGAAAGTTTTTAAGTAATGAAAAAGTTCAGATTCTTTTCTTAGCTAAAAATGAAAAGTAAAAAAGATAAAGATTATAAACTAGTAGTTTGGGGATTGAAGCTGAAAGAGAAGAACATGGCATAAAATGTCCAAGTTAAATACAATTACATAAATTACTCAGTTAAATCAACACTATACAAATTTATTTTTATAACAATTCTATAAGTAGCCTAGGAATAGAAAGCTGGACCATTCTAAAAGTCTGTTCCCGCCCCTACTGGGATCCCAAAATGCAGCCTAACACCAGACCCATTCTCTTCATTTAGACGACCAGCTTCCATGCCCTCAGGCCACCTGGTACACCTAGTTACTGCTTTTCTTACCTAACTGTGAGGTCCACAGGGCAGAAGCAGAGTCTATCTGGTTTACTATTTCACCTCTTCACCTGATAAAGAACTGACACATTTTTTTTTTTTTTAGAGCGAGCGAGAGAGAGAGATTTTTTACTATAGGGTGCATGCACTCACTGGAGACCCAGAGAGAGACAGAGACAGAAAGAAAAACCCACCCTTCCTGCCAGGGGTGATGGCCATGCCACAGTCCCTTCTCCTCTGTGGGTGATGGCTTCCATATGCAATGCCTTCCACACTCCTCTAGTCTCCCCGTGGGATTTTTGGGCACACATGCACACACGCCAGGCTGTCTCAAGCCACCAGGTCTGGGACTCGAACCGCACTCAGCCACGTGGGAGTCCAATGACATTATCGTTACGTTACTGTTACACCATCTGCTAGCCCCATCTAATAATCCTCAACTCCTCATTCCTGGTCTGATATATCAGCTTATTGTCACTGTTACACAGACACATCAAATTTGGAGGAGTGGCAGCCTTTCTTCTGTGGTTGGCCCGCTGGTTTCTAATCACTAGTACTCCTTGCTTTCCTAATCTTTGCCCTGTTTTAACATATTATATACTTGCTTCAGGAACCAAAATTCTTATTGTGGAATAGCTTTGAGCCCTTAAATTACTACAGTTCTTAAGACATGATAATAGGAAAAAAAGAGTTAGTCTTTCAGACTGTTGCACCAGAGATGAGGCCAGAATTTATTCCACAAAAAGAACTCTGAGCCTGGAAACTCTTTCTTCTAGGTTCTTCTCTGGGGGAGAGGTAAGAATATTTATATATTTAAGTTCCTTGAAGAACAAGGAAATATTGCTAAGAGATTTAAAAGTAGACTATGTTCCCTAGCTAGGTATGTAAGTAGGAGGCTGAGGCCTTTTTATCTCAAAATAAAAAGCTGTTCAAAGCATATCGTAAGAAATGATGAATCCTGTGTTCTCTAGTTTGAGGAAATTTGAGGTCTTTTTGACTACACACACTTCCCTTTTTTTGCTAACTACTCTCTGCAGTTGTTCTTGTTTACTTACAAGCACACAGCAGTTAGGCCATCAAAAATAACCTGCTTTCTTACACACTTTTAAAAATAAGTTGGCCTTGCTGATAAATATGCAAAACACTACAACAGGAGAAACTTTTCCCATATTGTCTTAATTTTCCTCCAGTTCTACTGGGTTGTCAGAGAAATCACAACATATTTTTCTATGCAAAAATGCATCATGAGTTTTCTGATGACACAGTAATTTCATCTAAATAATTAAAGGACATCTTAATCTTTTCTTTTAATTGCCAGAGGGTGCATGAGCTCACCAGAGAGAAACAGAAAAAGAAAGAAAGAAAGAAAGAAAGAAAGAAAGAAAGAAAGAAAGAAAGAAAGAAAGAAAGAAAGAAAGAAGGAAGGAAGGAAGGAAGGAAGGAAGGAAGGAAGGAAGGAAGGAAGGAAGGAAGGAGAAAGAAAGG